CAGCCTTTAAAAAGAAAAAGGCAAAATGTTAGCTAGGCATGGTAGAATAAGCCTGTAAGGCCAGAATTTAGGAACCGGAGACAGGAGGATTAGGAATTCAGGCCAGCCTTAGCTACACAGAGTGTTTGAGGCCAGCCTGGGATATAAGAAACCTTGTTTCATGCCTCCCCCATCACAAAAAAAGTTGCAAACAAGTAAAACTGGATGACAGTCACGGAAATTCCTATTCTATACTAATTCTATTTTATCTGTCTCAAGTTTCCCATAAAAATACTATGGGAGGGCTCAAATCTCTGTCTGTTCCCATGTATGAAAATAACGAGGTAGCTGAGAACATTTTGGGGTGTGTGTGAGGATGTGTCTTGGCATGAGCTCCCTTACAGGGTTATACCCCCAGGCTCTGGGAGAAAGCATTCTTATGGTGACAATCTCTTGCTGAAATAGACCAGAATTAGAGGGACATATATTTTAAGTGCTGGGTGGAGGAAGAGGGAGGGGCCCTGTCAGAAAAGGAAGGTAGAAATTATCATTATTATTACTATTAATTTGGTTTTTCAAGACAGGATTTCTCTGTAGCCTTGGCTGTCCTGGATTTTGCTCTGACACAGAGATCCACCTGCCTCTGCCTCCTGAGCACTGGGAATAGGGTGTGCGCATGCCACCACTGCCTGTGAAAACTGGTTTTTGAGGGGTGTTGAAAACCAAGGAGGAACAGTTTCAAGGTGTAAGGAGTGACAGCTAGGCCACATGTTGTAGATGACAGGAAGGAAAGGGTTAAATGTGTTCACCGATATACAACCAAGATCAATCTGATTAAGAAGTTGCCCCAGAAGACGGATCGTGAAGGGAAGGGAGGAAGGGAGGCGAAGATTGTCGCTTCTCCCCATCCCCATGGAGAAACTGATGCCTGTGTTTTATGCTGAGAGGAAGTTGTCATTTGAGAGTTGATGAGGGTATAGGCAGAAAGAGGAACCAGTGACTCATGGAACAAGGCTCTTGACTCCAACAGGAGTATTGAGGACAGTCACGTGCACACTGCTGAAGCAGAGGGCTTATTTTTCTGACACTGGTCAATTTACCTCCAGAATATCCTAAAATTTGAATTGTTCAAATTAAATTATGTTTTCCCTTTCTTTTAAAAAATTATTTATTTTATGTGCATTGGTGTTTTGCCTGCATGTATGTCTGTGTGAGGGTGTCAGATCTTGGAGTTATAGACAGTTGTTAGCTGCCATGTGGGTGCTGAGACTTGTACCTGGGTTCTCTGGAAGAGTAGTCGGTTCTCTTAACCGCTGAGCCAGTGTTTTTGCTTTCTAAGTAAAATTTGCTCATAGAACTACCAAGACGGATCTATTTATTGAAGTCGATACGTTTGTTAATGAGACATCATTGCGGTGCCTGGTAGTCTAATTTAGGGCCGTATGCATGCTCGACAACTGTTGTCCATCGGAACTCTACCCAGGCTGCAAATTTTCCTTTCCTCCTCCTCCTCTTTGTTGTCCTTGTTGACACATGATCTCACTAAGTAGCCAAGGCTGGCCTGGAATCATCCTCCTGCCTCAGCCTCCCAAGTGCTCAGGTTACAGTCATAAGCCACCACCCAAACAAACAGTCCATAATTTTGCGTATGTGTATGCGTGTGTGTTTGCCCGTGGAACTTGTGCATGTGGATGACAGACGTCCACATCAGATGTCTCCCTTTATGGCTCGCCACATTTTTGTTTTTATGTGCGTTTGTTTGTTTTGAAGCATCAGACTTTCTACATTATCCCTGGCTGTCCTGGAACTCACTAATGTAAACTAGGCTGGTCTTGAACTCACAGAGATCCACTTGCCTCTGTTTCCCAAAGGCTGGGTCTAAAGGTGTGAGCCACCATGTTTGACCTCCACTTTAAAAAAAATTATTATTAGTATGTGGGTGTATGATGCCACAATGAGCCACTATGCACGAGCCACCATGCTGTCTCTCCTCTTCAAAACATTATCATTAATATGTGGGTGTATGATATGCACACGTAGGCATGAACACTGCAGTGTCAGGTGTGGTGGTCAGAGAAGAACTTTGTGGAATCAGTTCTCTTCTCCAGCCTCTACTTGAGTTCCAGGGATTGAACTCAAGGCATCAGACTTTCAAGGCAAGATCTTTTACCCACAGTGAGCCACCTTGCTAACCCTTCACTTTATACCCCCCTTGTTTTATATAGTTTATATAGTTTATTTATATTTATATAGCTTATTTTACATTCCGACTTTGGTTCCCCTCCCTCCTCTCCATCCAGTCCCTTACTTTATTTTTTGAGACAAAGTCTCTCACTAAACCTGGAATTTGCCCTATTTGACTGGACTGGATGCTTGTGAGTCTGGCATCCTCTTTATCTCCGCAGTATGGGGATTATAGGTGCAAACCCTATGGGTGCCGGGCATCTGGACTAATGACCTCCTGCTTGTGTGGCCGGCACTTCATTAGCTGGGCCATCTCCCTAGCTCCAGCACAGTCTTAAATGGCTTTAGGTGTTCTTTTTGTGTATCCACTTGGTTTTGAGTTTTGTATAATCCAGATAGGCTCAAACTCTTTATGCTTACCTTCACTTTGAACTGCCGATTCTCCAGTCTCCACACCAAACACCAAAATACTGGGAGAGTTACAGCCATGGGTCACCACACTAGGAGAACAAAACATACACAAATGCAGATCCGGTAGAGGGTACCTGAGGGCATCGGACAGTATAAAGCTAGAGTTACAGTTGGTTATGAGCTGCCCCACATGGGTGCTGAGCTCTGAACTCCTGTCCTCTGCAAGAGCAAGCAGTACTTGCTCTCAACTTCTCAACCCTCTCTCTCTCTCCACACACACACACACACACACACACACACACACACACACACGTATATATGTGTATACAGGGTGTTAATTTGTTGCCTAAACTAGCTTTCAACTCAGACTTGCAATTTCTTGCCTTAGCCTCTTGTGTGGTGCATTACGGATTACTGGTGTGCACCATCACAACCCAACCCATTCACCTGATGTAACAATCGAGGCCAGTCTGTTCTACATAAGGGGTCCCAGGCTAGCTAGGTATAAGGGGTGACTCGAGAGAGATGTGTGTGTGTGTGTGTGTGTGTAAGGGAGGGGGGGGGGAAACAAACACTACCGGATTGATTTTTTGTTTGTTTGTTTCGAGACAGGGTTTCTCTGTATAGGTTTGGAGCCTGCCTTGGAGCTAGCTTTGTAGACCAGGCTGGCCTCTAACTCACAAAGATCCACCTGCCTCTGTCTCCCAAGAGCTAGGATTGAAGGTCTGCGCCGTTTTTTTGTGTTTTTTTTTTTAAATTTTTTTTTATATTTTTCGAGACAGGGTTTCTCCGTAGCTTTTGGTTCCTGTCCTGGAACTAGCTCTTGTAGCCCAGGCTGGCCTCGAACTCACAGAGATCCCCCTGCCTCTGCCTCCCGAGTGCTGGGATTAAAGACGTGCACCACCACCTCCCGGCTATGTTTTTTTTTTGGGGGGGGGACAGGGTTTCTCTGTAGCTTTGGGACCTGTCCTAGAACTAGCTCTTGTAGACCAGGCTGNTCTCTCTCTCGACAGAGTTTTTTTCTGTGTAACAGACCTGCCTGAAACTTGCTTTGTTAACAGCCTTGAACTCATTGAGATCCGCCTGCCCTCTGCCTCCCAGGTGCTGGAACCAAAAGCTTTTGCCACCACCGACTACTGGATGGATTTTAAAAAACACTTCTAAACCCATGATAAGATTTACCTCTTTCCTTTATAGGATCTTTTGGTTTGCTGCTTTTTAAGAAAGAACTATTTTAATATTTTTTTTAGACTGGATTTTACTGTTTATCCCTGACAGACCTGGAACCCACTATGTAGCAGATCAAACTCAGATCCGCCTGTCACTGCCCCGAGCGCTGGGAATAAAGGGGTGTGCCACCAGTTTGCTGCTTTTATACTGAAAAAAGTTTCTTCCTAAGTCCACAAAGCCTTTTTAAGTCGCTTTCCTTCTATCACAGATATACAGGGTGGTTTACAGGCAAGTCTAACTGCTGTTCCAAATTCAACTATTAGAATCGTACGAACGGAGCTACTTAGTGATTATGCTGCCAAGTTTATGCCTGGATCCCACGAGGAGTCCAACTAAGGTGTGTAGGAATGAAATGTTCTACACTTTGGAGCAAACTTTCACTTTGGCAGGATTAGTGGGAGGCTGATGTTCTGGAGGTGGGAAGGGGGAAGAAGAGTGCAGACAAGCTCATCTCCCTAGGATTTCCGGGCTGAACAGCATGCACCTGACGCCCGCGTGGCACTACCCAGCTGAGTGTGGAACTGGACCCAGCCCAGTACTCAAGGCAGCTCGAGCAACACCGCCCAGCCTAAGTATTCGCGCGCTCCCGGGAACGCGCGCGCGCACGCAGGCGTGTCTCGAGCAGGGTCGGGCCTGTCAGGCAAGAAATCTCGCGAGATCTGAGACTGAGATGTCTGTCGGGAGGAGGGGAGTGGTGTCGGGGAAGGGGGGGGAACCTGGGCAGCGGCCGAGCTCTGTGGCTTCAGGGCTTGGAAGGAGAGAGGGAGGGTGGCGAGGAGAGTGAGTCGGTGCCGCCGCCCGCTTGAGGAGAGAGGAGGGGTCCCACTCGTCTTGCGCCCTTCGCGGGCCGAGAGCGCGGAGCAGTCGCGAAACTCCCAGGCCTCTCGGCCCCTGGGGACCCCGCCCCGCCGCCCGCCGGCCCGCGGCCTCTCTTCCCTTTGTGAGCGCCCCCTTCCCAGGGGTGCTGGTGGTGGCGGAGGGGTGCGCGTGGGCCCGCCCGCCGAGGGGCCGCGGCGGGGGACCGACTGGGCCTCGGCTGTGAGAACCCGAGGCGGCCGAGGCCCGGGCCGGTTCCCCCGAGGCGGCGGCGGCGGCTCCCGGCACTTCCCCGCGCCATCTTAACTGAGCCCGAGCGTTAAGGGCGCCTCCTCGACCCCGGTTGTCCCCTCGCTCCCCCCCCCCCCCCGCCCCCTTGTCGCAGAGCTTGGGCTGGGCGGCTGGGGGGGGGGGCGGCGGTCTGTCGCCGGGCCCCCTCCTCCTCCCTCCTCGCTCTCCAGCACCGCGGCCACTGGAGCGCTCCAGGGGTCTGCGCCTGCCTACTCCGCCCCAGATCTGCCGGCGAAGGGGTAAGGGCACCTCTGCTTTGGGAAAGGAAGACATGGAGGGGGCGGGGAAATTCGGCCCACTCAGGCCTCTGGGTGGAGGGAGAGATCTAGGGGTAGAGTGGGGGAGGGAGACAAGGAGGGTCTGTGATTCTGTGGGTGGGGTGAAGACACTGGTGAGCTGGGTGCCCTCCTGTTTCTAGGGGCCAGAGCAATTGCATTCCTTTTTCCTGAGGGTCACCGGAAGAGGTGGTGGAAGGGGATGTTTCTAGGAAGGTGTGGCCCTAGTAGGGAGATTTGAGTTGACGTGCACCCCGACTTAAAGGCGCGAGGTCCCTTTCAGGTCTCCTCAGCCTGCTCCTCCTCCTTTGTAGTGTCTGTATTCTTGGGAATGGAGAATGCTCTGGGTAGCCAACTGGATAACTCCCTCGCCCCCCTGCAGGAAATCTATACCTTCTTCTGTAGGGGGTGATGGAAGCATTTCTGTCCCCCCCCTTCCCCCTCTCTCTGTCCTCTAGTCTACTGCAATGCTGCAGAAGTCCAAGTCAGTTTCTTCATACACAGACCCATATATATACACGCAAGTAATGGCGCTTTCCTTGGGGAGGTTAGTTTTTTTCCCCTTTGGTTTTAAATCGATTACAGTACTGTTCGGATTTTTCCCCTGAGATATGCCCATAGGAAGTATGACCGTAGTACTGTTGGTATATGGCCTCATGTTAGAACAGTTTGCTTGCTCTGTTTTGAGAGAGAGGATGCCTGGGATTGACTTTTGGCACGGCTGTTGGGTGGGTTAGTTTTTGTTAGGTTTAATAAAGTAATTTTATACCCCTCCCATTATTCTTTCCCCTTCCCCCTTTTCTTCTTTAGCTTTTGTAGTTCTTGGAGAATTATTAGAAATTATTATATTCAAACTGTCAGATGATCAGACATTTGCCCCTGGACTGTGACTTTGTAAGATTAATACTGTTTTGCATGACATTGATACAGAAATTTCTGAAAATGATTATGCTACAAACTTTTATGTAGCCGATGTTGCTTCTTAAGGAAATGAAAGGTAATGCTCCCAATTATGCTGTGGTCTGTATCCTGTACTCTCCCGCTCCCCTTTTGCTGCATGTCATACTTGTTTAAAAGAATCCATCTTGTCTGGTTTGTCAACAGGACTTGTTGATTTTGTCCTGAGTAGAAGTAAAAATAGCAGTTTGGGCATTTTGGTAAGTGCCTTCTGAAATAAATTAGCATTCAGGTCTTGAAGAAGTCTTGATATACATTTTTTACTTTTTTTTTCTTCCTTAAAGGAGTCTTGATGTACAAACACATCCCCCCACCCCCTTTTTATAGAAAGGGTCTTTGTGTTCAGGCTGCCTTGAACTCAGCAATCTTCCTGCCTAACTCTCCCATGTGCTGGGATTACAAGTGTGAGCCTCCACACCTGACTCCATTTTTTTTCTTTAACTATTTAGTTTTACTAGTGAAATGATTTTAAAAAATGTTCCATATGTGAATATTAGCAGTAATAAAGATTACTAAAATATGTTAATGAATTGTCTTGACATTATTAACAAATGATATTTGATGTCTGAACTTAGTGAGTTACTTTTAAGTTATGAATACAAAGATTTAAAGCTGTAGCAGTAGTATTAGGCATTGATTTAAGGTCTATCTCATGTAGCACAGGGTAGTGTAACTGTGTAGCTGAGGCTGACTTACTGATACCTCTGTCTCCAACTTCCCAAGTTCTAGAATTACAGGTGTCTGCCTGCCACCATCCAGTTTAAACAAACAAAAAACAAAAAGAAAAGGCAAAACAAAAAAACAGGATCTTGGCTGGGCAGTGGTGGCGCACAATTTTTATCCGAGCACTTGGGAGGCAGAGGCAGGTGGATTGTGAGATTGAGGCCAACTTTGTCTGTAGAGCTAGTTCCAGGACAGCTACCACTGTTAAACAGAAAAACCCTGTCTTGATAAACCTCAAACAAACAAACAAACAAGCAAACAAAAAACCCAGAGTCTTTTTGAAACCCTGTCTTAAAAAACCAAAACAACACCAGGGTCTTATTACATAGTAGTGAGTTCCTTGGCTGACCTGCAACTTGCTATGCAGGCTAGACTGGCCTCAAATTCACAAGAGATCTCCCTGTCTCTGCCTGCTGTGTGCTGGGATTACAGGTGTGGACCACCATGCTTGTCCTAAATTCTTTTATTTCATGATTTTGAGAAAGCTGTGTTATGTTTTTCTCAAAAATGAAACTTTCTGCCTTATTTTAATATTCACCCCAGTTCATTTAATGTAAGTAGCACCATTCAATTGATTCTTTTGGTGGTGGAACAAGATTTTGTGTAGTCCAGATTATCTTTAAATGTTGTATAGCTGAGGCTAACCCTGACCTGAACCTCAGGTGTAATCTGTGCCAATGTGCCTGGAATTTGTTGTTTTTGTTGAGGGAGTTTTTTTGTTTTTGTTATTTTGGTTTTTCAAGACAAGGTTTCTCTGTGTAGCTTTGGAGCCTGTCCTGTAACTCTTTTGACCTCAAACGCAGAGAGATCCACCTGCCTCAGCTTCTTGAGTGCTGGGATTAAAGGCATGAGCCATCAAAGCCCGATGAGGGAGGTTCTTACTATGCAGTCTTGGCTGGCCTTGAATTTGTGGCAGTTGTAGTGCCTTAATCTTTTAGTGCTGAGCTATTGTGCCAAGAGCTATTTGACTCTTTACTTCATGACATAAAGTGCATGTTGTCCTATTTGAAGGATATCTAGTTTTCTCCCCATACAGAAAAAGTTAGGTCATGCTTAATTTTCTGTTTTATGGTTTGTTGTTGATAATGGGTTCATATCATACTAGCAAATAGAAATCCAAACATACTGCTTAGCAAAGAGTGACTATTTTTATCTTGGAAAGATGCAAGAAGAGTGACTTACCAATAATGGCCACAAAGCTTAAGGATATACAGGGTATAGGTTTAATTGCTTACTTTACTATTTCATATTAGAACTAAGGCATCTTCTCTATAGCTGGTAGCAGTGGCAAAAGTATGTTGGTGATCAGTTAAAGAAATTTATTATTAAGGAAAGAACTATCTGAGGGTTTTTTCATGACTTCTGATGCTACTGTCAGAGAATACTGAGAGCTGTTAGTCTGAGTTGATTCCAGATTAGTGTGGTGCTTATGTTTCTAAATAGTTCATCCACAAAATGGAGTGTACATCACTTCCTGTTCTTTCACAACTGGCTCTTTCTCTGGATTCCCTTTTAATGACTTAATTTTTGGCATTTTGATATCTGATTTGTTAATTTGGTTATTCTCATGCTTTATAAATGGAAGAATTTCTAAGAATTAACTGTTTTAGAGGATTTTAATGGAGTACTTTTTTTTTTTTTTTAAAAGCATCTCTTTGTGAATCCTAGTTGGCCTGAAACTCAGTAGGTAGACCAGGGTGTCCTGAACTTGCTGCAGTTCAGCCTTTGCCCAGGCGTGCTCCACCAAGACTGGTTTAACTGAATTTGCTTTGTTGACCAGGCTGGCCTTTTCACAGAGTTCCTCTTGTCTCTACCTCCCAAATGCTGGGATTAAAGGTGTGTGCCACTACTGGCCAATTTAAGAGTGTCTTTAAAAAAAAAAATGTGTATGTCCATGTGTGTGGGATGATGTTGAGTCTCTTGCCTTATTCCTTTTTTTTTTTTTTTTTTTGTTTT